AGTCCAAGTAAAATTATAATTCAATGGATTGTATTCAGAGCTTTACAGAATTCTTTATTTTCGATTTCACTAAAAAAAGTGAAATGTCTCGTTATAGATGAAGCTGACTGGTATATGAAAACGATATCGATGGTGTTGAAGCTAATTTCGATTGTTCTTTTTTTTTTCTAAAGAATGTTAGATAGAGATTTGGAACTTGATATATGAAAATTAGAAAGTCTTGGTTTATCATCAAAAGAAGAACGTATTACATGGTTGTTTTTCGCAACATTTTCTAATCAATTACAACAATTAGCAAAACATGTCCTTCGTGACGATTGTATTTTTTGTCTATTAGAGTGCCAATGTGGATGTAGTACGTACATTGGAAGAAGTATTACTTACGAAGAAACAAAGATCGTGTTTTTCAATTATTGAAACGAAATCTTATGAGAAATCAATATTAAAGAAAATTTAATGAGAAAATTTTCTTTGTTTCGATTTTTGTTCTGAATTTGAACGTTGTTTGATTTTGTTGCTAATTACGACTTACCGCATACAAGTGATTTTTATGTTCGTTATATTGATCGAACAAGTAGAATGAATCATAAGAAGAACAAGAAAAAGGACAAATAGTTTTGAAAATTCTTTTTTTTGCATAGGTCATGCTGGTTATTTGAAGAAATCTATATAATTTTTTGATCCAGGTGGAGAGTCTGATAGAAAAATTGCTCTTGAACTTATACTAAAATTATGCCAAGTATATTTTGTTTCCTAAATTCAACATGAATTTTCAATTGGTTTCTTTCAATAGGCTGGCCAAGCAATATACTGGATTTTATCATGATGACCATAGGTCGGCGGAGAGTAGTATAATACTGTTAGTGTGGGTGTGGAATAAGATATATACATCGACAACCCGATCCACACCCTCAAGTTTGATACCCATATTACAAAGAGAAATAACTCGTCATATGTTAATTGATCATCGATTATTGCTTTTAATGTCTCAACAACCAATAAAAAATAATATCATTCAAATATAATAGGTTATATATTCATCTCTTAAGTGAATAAAGTAAAAAGTATTTTTAATAGATTTTAGATCGAGATTGTTCTTGAAAATTTTGAGCACGAGAAAAAGATGTATACCAAAATTTTTCAGAGAAAATGGTTTTTCGATCGAGTAATAGATTGTCTCTTAAAGTTACTTTGAGAAATTTATGATATTCTTATCAGCCATTCACAATAATCAATCGTTACCTTTTTTTTAATTAAAAGTATAACTCATAAACATAGTTATTGCTTTTTGTCTCAACATTTTCTTCAATAACAACTTGGAAAAAAATTCATTTTCTTTTTAAAATGTGATTACTGGGCTTTAAAGTAAATGGTTCAGAATGGAGAAACGACAGAAAAAAAATAAATTTGCAGTTTTTCATGAGTCACAACAAAAAACATATACATATAAATTACCGGCTAGAAACGAGAAGATTTAGAGAAAATACCTGTAAAAAAATGCGTTCAATAGAAAATTTGATTTACATAAACAGTAATCTTATTTTATACGTCTACCTAGAAAAATATGATTTCTATTGAAACATAAGGATTTCAGTCGATATAAGTAATTGTTGTACANCATATAAAATAATCAGTGACCTTAACAGAATGTGAGTGCAAAGTATTGATAGAAGATGGAGACTGGATCATTCACTATGTTTCATGTAGAAAAGACGCTGCGTTAGATCGAAACTAACATGCTTTCCTTATTCAGTTTCTGTTTCAATTTAAAATGTAGCACTATGTTGAGAAGCAGACATTCAGCATTGAGTGAAGATTAGAGTTGTGCTTCCACTTGTAGTGCCATCAAAAGCTTTCAATGTGCTGATTTAGACGTAATACAAACATTTTGTTTCTTTGAATAGCAATGGAGCGTACTTACTGGTAACAGTAATTACGTGTTGCTCCCTTTACTTAGCTATTTGTGAGAGATCCGAACGTAGTCACAAATGAGCATCACGTACTTTTTCTAGTCTCACGAACCCAGTTCGATAGAGTTCCCTAATCGTGTTGAAAGACTTCCCAAGTATTCTTTCTGTTTCTATGAGCATTCATTCCATGATTCATGAACGGTACAAGTCTATTTATGCAGAAATCTATGATCGAGCAAAGGAGATTTATGAGGCGAGGAAACCAGTCAAAAGTACTTGACAGATTATTATTTGTAAGAATGAATCTAAAGAGTCTATATGAGAAAGAGTAACATGCAAAGAGCTGAAGTATGAGTACTTAATATACAGTGCAATGAAGAACAAGTCACTGGCAATGTCGGAAAACAAATCTAATAGAAAAACAATCAATTCGATGTTGCTATCCAACATCCTTCTATATATGTGTATTTCTTTTCTGATGTTTTCTCATTTACTAATTCTTCACGATTTCACTTAAACATATGAATAAATTGTTTGATGAATCGAAGTGCCCATAAACGCTACAATACATCGCAGCCACACTCTCAAAATACAACTTTTATGGATAGGTTACAATCAACTCATTGTGTTGATAATTGATAATACTATGTAGTACACAGTTTGAAATCAAACGATGTCCTAAATCTTCATTTACACATGTTTATTTTAGGTCAAAGATATCTTTATTACATAAACACGTGTATAACACTAGAATCATGATGTTATAACTACATTAACGCTAAAAAAATCAATAAACTGTAGCGATCATAAAAAATTGTATTGTTGTAGGAAGTCTTCTGAAATGTCTTTAGCTTTATTTATTTAACGAGATTTTCTAATTTGTTGAAGCTTTAACAAGAAGGTTTATACCGTTAGTCAATAGCATCAATCCTCTAGTTCTAAGAGATCAAGTGTTAAGTGTTGAGTGTTAATGAATTTTTGAGTACAAACAAAAGAAATATTTTCTTTGAAGGATTTCCACCTCAAGAATCATTCTTGAGTATTATTTACGAGCACTACCAAAACTATGAAAAAATAAATTATACAAAAGCACAAGAAAAACTCAGAATAGAGTCATTAATTAACATAAGAAATTGGAATATCCAATCATATTTAATCATTAGATCCATTTGACTAGATCGATATGAGCCAAGTATTTGAAGAAATTTCATACTTTAACTGTGTTTCGTGATTAGAAAGTTTTAGTTTGAATGAGTTTATTAAGATTACAACACATCAAATAGTTTCATATCTGAACGATGAATATGTAGTTTAGTTGTTTACAGATGTAATTTGAATAATTTTGAAACATTTTATGAGACATGCAACTATTACAAAAGAATTTTTCAACTATAATTTAAACACTTTCTCGAAGACAATGCATGTGAATTTTAGATTGCCATATCTTCTCATGAATACAAACAAAATTATATTTCGATTTAATAAATGACAGAAATATTGTATTATATATATATGATGAATTATGATTAATTCATTTAATAAGATATTTAATCCTTCTTTAATTCAAAAATAAATAAAAATATAGACGAAATATATCTGACTCAATTCCGTTGGTGATGATCTTCAATAATTTTTCTGTTCAATGTTTTTTTTTTATTAAACTCGTGTGATATCGCTATAACTTGTTGGTCGTGATTCATCAATAAACGGAATATCGTCAAGATTATCATAATAATAAGATATCATTGGTGTATTTCCATTAATTAGATTTGACGATGATTTTCGAATAGAAGAAGGTAAAATTTTTTTCTCCGATTCCGGTTTACTATTAGATGATAGAGTTAAATTTATATGTTTTGATAACTAAATGAAATAAATATTCTTGAACTTGATAAAAAAACGAATAAAATTCTTACTGGATTTGTCAAGGATAACTTAGTGTCAGATATTTTCTCGGATTGTTCAGGTATAAGAAGATGATCTTTTTTTTCTTGACGTTTTAAATTACGACGTCTAAAAAATATACAAAAATTGATATGTAAACTTATTAGGTATTCTACTGTATGATTTTTGTCAGAAAAACAAACTGATGAACAAAAACAGAATAAATCTAAAATCAAAGAATATCATTAGCAATTCTTATGTCCTTCTTATTCGATCAGAATAATTTGAGATAAATATCATTGTGAATCTCCATAGGTTTCTTAATGTCTCAAAAGAATTTTGCCCATGTTTATAAAAACTATCTTCCAATAAATATCATTTGACTTTTTCACTGATCTATTTCCATAAATTAGATTAAGATTTATAAATAATTCATTATAGAAATACAGTTCAATTACAAGTTTACTTTCATGTCAATTAAACAAAACTAGTTGATCAAAATCACGATTTTTGACATTACTCTCTACAATACGTCGCCAATTAAACGACAGACCTTGTTTTAATAGATCTCCCTAGAATAATAGTTGCAATCAATACTCATATTCATTCGAAAATCAAACATTTATATTCGATTTCATATGAAATGATAAATTATGTAAATCGAGTTGATAACAATACTCTTTTACATACCGATTGAGACAAATGCAAATACATGCAGAAATACATATGGTAAGACAGACGAGTACAGTTATTGTAGTAATAGCAATAAATAAAAGTCGCATAATTTCATTACTAAGTCCAAATTCATTATCTAATGCATCTGATGTACCATTCATTGAACTATTATAAATTGATTCAGATTGATCGGTAATTGCATCGATTGATGGAAAACCAAATGATTCACGAAGATTCATATTCTTCGATAAATTAGTCATAGTAAATCCAATAATCTAAGATTGTAATAAGTATAAAGAATACATGATAAATTTAGAAAAAAAAGTAGAACAAGCTGATCTATATGTATATCTACAATGGAAGAAAAAGTATAGACATAAAAGTCAATATATACATATAGAATAGGAGAGAAAGAAGAATGATTGAATTACAAATATATCAAGAAAAAAGACAAGAAAAATCTTCAAATAATAAATAGATTCAAATTTAGTTTTCATATAAACACATTACAAATGTATATATATATAAATCTTTTACCTGATTTATAGAAAAAAAACTGTAATTTGTGATGAATTAATCTTTATATAGAAACATGTGTAGACTTTAATTTACTTTGCATGGTAAATTAGTATTTGTGAATGATAAGTAACTATGTGTAGACATGCATACACCTTTCAATAATAATAATGATTCTTTTCTTCCTCTTGAATAAGTTTTTTTTCCTTGTCATGGGGAAATGACGATGTTAAGAAGCGTAGTTTTGTCGTTACTTCTATTCGTTGAAATGATGCATGAGATGCCTTGAATGTCAACGAGAAAAATATATTCAATTCACATTTACACACACACACACACCATTCATATTTACTTGATGAACAGAGGAAATAGGAAAAGAAGATGAGATAAAGCAAAAACACTACTCTTTAAGAGATAATGAAAAATACTTCTTTTCATCTTAGTCCTCTTGACGAAGTCTTACATTGACACAATTGAAGATGACATTCAATTCAAGAATATAGAAAAACTTAATCTGATCTTAGAAGCTTTCTCTTCTTTTCTGTTATTAATTTAATTTTCATGCTCATTGTTAAATGTCGGATAGAAAAATTTGTTGACAATGTATTCTACAGAATAGTCTGTAGATATATATTTATATTTATATTAAAAACACAAAAGATATAATCACTTGTTCATTGTTAAAAATATGCTTCATTACATAGTTCTCAACCAACGAACGATTGAAGGAGAAAAATTCTTACATTGATTATGTTTTTGATATAGTGTAGCAAAGCAATATCCCAGAGGCTTAATCGTTTTTTTGTTAGAAAAAGGAAAATTTCTAGTGCAAAACTATTTAAAATAATTCAATCGGACATGTTTTTCAAAGGCTAAAAAATACTTAGAATAAAAAGTATCGGGAAACTCTTGTATAACTTTTTCTTAAATCTAGAAAAAAAAATACCTCATTAGAAAGATTACCGTTTAATTCGTCTATAATAAGTTTTATACTGTAAGCACAGAGAACTATTACTGTACCGAAACAAGACATAATTTACATGTTTTATAAATGCTTCTATGAACTCTTTTAAAAAAACATCTTCTAGTAGCATAATTTTTTTCATAGTTATCAATCACATTAGAAAAATTTTAATTCTACGTCGAGAAAAAATTTGTCAGAAGCTATCTATTATTTATAACAAAAAAAAAAGAAGAAGCTTATCGAATTCTCTATTAAAAGGTATTACTTGAAATAGGATTTAACTTCGCTTCCGTTTCTTGTACGCTAGATCAATTATTTTAATCTTACATGAAAGTTTTCATTGTCATGAACAGTTGTATATATATTTGTGATTCTGGAAGTAGCTAATGAAAAGGGTTAAAAAAATTGTAACTAAAGCAATGAATAGATTTTCCAATACCTTTTGTTCGAACATTTTTTTGTGACCTTCGATAAACATTTCCGATCAAATTCTTTTCTATAATTTTGTGCTAGACATTTTGTGTATTCTAACATAAAAAAATAAAATCTCTACGATATTGCATTACAACGTTATATCAAAACTAAAATCAATACAGAACTTTCTTCACGAATATTAACGAGGTAAGCAAACTTAACCTGAGTATGCTGTTAATGAATTTCTCAATAATCGTGTCGACAAACCAGAGAAACGTTCAATATAAACAAGAAAAAAAACAGACTACAGACTTTTTTCTGTCTAAACATAATTTGATGAATCAAAAGGCATAAAAAATTATGCTAATAATAGTATATCAAAGAAAGTATATGTTGTACTCATAAGATAAAAAGACGTACTCAGCATTGTCTGTGTACATTAGTATAGAATAATGATAATAGAAAGTGAAGAAATAAAAAAGTGGAAGACACCAACAAAAAAAGAAAAGAAAAATCCTAAGGCATCGTTTTCCATCATATTCTCTATGCTCGACTTCCGACGTCCGGTTTAGACAACATTCTTGCTACTACTTTAACATAGCTTAGTCAATGATGGAATCTGTGTGTGTGTGCTTTCGCATCACGTTCATCAATAGTTGATTTGTAGATAAAGAATAGCAGACGTTCACATATTGAACTAATCATTTTTTGTTTTAGTTGCTTCTAGTTGCTCAAATAGTTTTTTTTTCGAATTTTCTCTCTTACGAAACGGATTTTTATACTTTTCTCTCAACATATATTAGGTTCAACAGCTATTTATTTTTGATCTTTTTCTTTTTGATTGAAGACTACGTATAAGTACTCACCCTATCCCTTTAGCAGTTGTTTGAGAGACATGCATACAATAAGACATTAGTCTGTTCCTTTCTTTCAGATATGATTAAATTTATTGGAAGACACAATAGACCGAAAGACTGACACATGCATGCAAATATTTAACACAGACGGTTAAAGCTGCACATTTCAATTAGCCATCATTATCATCGTCGAAGACACATCATCATTTTTACAACAATAGTGAATCAAAAACACTCAGACAAAAAACAAGAAAAGAAAAAGAAACAATGTTCATCTATAAATGTCTGTAACACGATAAGCTTATTGCTTAGTTGCGATCGATCAAAAAAATAAATAATCAAGCGTATAGTAAGGTAAATAGAAAATCTCGAACATGCTACACGCACGACATATATTAAACATGAAAGAGTGACAAGCGAATGAACAGACTACTTGCATGCATGCTCACTTGTCTGCAGATAATGGACTCGTATGCGTACTGCATTATTCTCTTGAGAGAATTTTTTTTCTAGCTGATTTCACATACACATATACGTATATATATATTATTAAAAACTGATGTTCAGTCTAACTAAATTTGAATAAAAATGACTAATATTATGTTCATTTGATTTACTGTTTTTTTTTTATAATAACTCATAAAAAGTAATTTCTCTTTCTCCGTCGTATTTTTAAATGAACATATATGAAAACTCATTTTAAACAATTCACGATTATTTCATAGAAAGAAAAAGAATGTGAAATTCACATAAACTATTTTCTTCTTAACAAAATGACACCATTAACATTAAGTTAGAGAAAAAACATCTTGCATATTTCATAAAATTTTATTTATCAAAATAAAAATAAAAAAATAAAAAGTTATTCACAACAAACTTTACCAGACATTGATCATTAATAAAATATTTGTTATTTACCCGATGTATTTCTACTTATCATTGTGCGAATCTGGAAATGATTCATTCATTTCATATTAAACATTTTATCTATAGATCAAGGTCAAATGAAATGCGTTTTTACACATGGGAATATTCTCTCATTATTCTTTGTCTCAACATAATAAGTATTGCTTTTGTTTGTTATTGTATCAAGAGACTATAGTGTTGACTATCATAGTTTGTTTTTAATACGCTCTCCAATAATAGGAACAAAGTATAGATATTTTTATCTATAAGAACGAAGCGAATCAAGATTTTCTTTATATATTAATTATTAGTAAACCCTTTATTTTATTATTGTTTTTGATGCATGCAATCAGATAAGAAGAAGAAAAAAAGAAGAAACAATAAACACAAATTAAACGATATTGTTTGCATCTCTTTCTGAAATGTAAAGAATATGTCTAAAGACAGAACAAAGAAACATCACCGGCTTGTTTCATGTGTTCACAATTCTGTATAACTATAATCACGATTTATTCCGATTGCACGAAAAGCTAATGGACATGTAAAAGCAATATTAAATCCAATTGCAAAATAAGTCAAATAATAATAAGGCATTTCAACTTTTGCGAAACGTTTTATTTTCGGATCTCTCCAATCAAGTCCATATATAATAGATGTTACACGTAAAACAATTGTTTTAACTATTTGTCGCGTAGCATAAACAATTAATAAACCAGTTATTGTACGTAAAACACAAAAACCTAAATTTGGCGCAGTTATTGAATAAATTGGAGGCGTTAATGGTCTTGCTAAAAGACCAAATTTTTGCATCATTGTTGTTGCTGATAATAAACCAAATGTGCTACCTAATATGACAGTTGTATCTGAACGAGCTGTTGACCATTCTTCTACACTTGGATAACATTTCATTAGAAATATACCCAAACAAAAATTAAGTAAAGGTGCTAAAGTAAAATTTACTTGAAAATTATCAATTATATTAACATATGGAAACATTATATAAATCAAGAATAATGCATATGCTGTACCACCTATGATATCCTATGAAGAAATATAAAAATAAAAATTGTTCGAACTTATCTTTAGAATTTGAAAATTTCTCGATAAAATATTTATTCAACTTTAATGCATTTCTCGAAATAAACAATGCCTAAGGGCTTGTCAACATTATTGTGAAAGTCTTAGTTTACACGATACACATTGCCGATTGAAGAGTTATGATAAGAAGAATGTCAAATAAGTTATTTTTATCGACAATTGTACTGTTTTATCCAGATTTTCTCTTCTGAAATGGCGACTTGAAACATCGAGAGGGTGAACACCTATTTTTAGGAACACGAATACATAGTACATTGTACAATAATCACAAACTTTGGAAGAGCACTGTCCTCACGCTAGATAAAATATTGGACAATTAGTATGCTATAGAACGCTGTAGTTCTTAATTTCAGATTGCAATGGTAAAAATTCTTCCACTCAATATACTAGGAATAAAGTCTTTTAAATAGTAGAAAATAGTTTTTACTTTATACTCAATCAAGATCACCACATACGATTTCCAAATATGTAGGAATACATTCGATGTAGAGGAAAAACGTTATCA